AAACAGCCCAGGAAACACCCCCAGAATGGATCCCCCCTCACAACTGCACTGCTTGCATGTTTCCTCCCTAATGCTTGCTAGGTTAGTGCAGGGCTGCTGCTACATAGCAGTTCCTGACAGTGCTTAAACTACTTAGCCCTCTCAGGATGGGGCACAATGGGGGCCATGGCTGAGGACACAGCCCAAGCTGAGTCTGAAAAGGACATTTGCTAGAAAAATGGATATTGGGAAGGAAACTGAACTCCATACCCTTCAGACATGACTGATTCAAACCAGACTTTCACAGGTTCTTCTTAGGATGACAGACTCTGAGGAGTGCTACATAAGTTTTTGTTCCTGTGAAGAATATATTCAAAAATCTTGCAGAAATAAAAATAAATTTTTCTTGCTTTCTTCCTAGGGTGGTAATCCCCGTAGTGATGAGATTACAGAATGCTGTAATAAAGTTGTTTGGACTAAGAAAGCAACACTTGGCCCTGGAAATGACCCATCTTCCTCTTCTAAGAACAGCAGAACAGGATCATGTAAGAGCATGTAAGGTCCATCAGGAACTACACAGTATGGATGTGACTATTCTGAGGACACTGCTCCTTCAGGCTCCTCCTGCCCAGTGGTAGGACCCTGGTGTAGTCCAGCAAAAAGTCAAGACACAGCATGGATGGCCCACTCCAATACACACAGAAATGCACCATCCTCTCTTACTGTGGCAGTAGATTTGTTATATGCCATTTAAATAAGAAACTGAACACTGCCTGTCTGCTGTCTGGTAAGAGTTTCCTTAGAGGAAAATGTTCTTCCATCCATTTTCTGTGACTGAAGGGGCAGAGGCAGAGCACAGTCTCTGTAGCACAGCACATGGGAGATAGGTGAAGTGAGTGCCAGAGGTAGACCTGAGCAGCAGTGACTGGAAATTCAAACTGTAGTAAGAAAGGTTGTGACTAAAATGGATGTACCAACCACATCCCCTGTGTTAAGCAGAAAAGAGGAGGATCACAGGCTGGAGGGAGTTTCTGTGGGCTTTTTACCCTCTGCATCATCTTAGCAAGAACTACTGAGGTTTTCCTTGAAAAGGTTTTTCATCAGAAGCAGCAGAATCATCAAACCCCAAAACTGGTGTGGACTCACAGTGTGTGCAGGCACCTCACTTTGTGCAAAACCCCCCCCAAACATAATTGACAGAAGGTCTTGATCCTACATCCCAAATAAGCTTTCTGATTTGTGGGCCATCAGTAATTCCACAAAGTACTGTTTAATTGTACATGAATAAAGAGAAAACATCTCCAACAGGACAGGTGAGCACACACTCGCCACAACATAAGAGGATGTGCAATTTTTTGACCTAGACTGTAGGCTGAGGTCTAGATCCTTGTTTAAGTAAATCTGAGAAAATACTGAAACACTAAGTTCTCCTCTCCAGACTCAGTAAGGATCCATGAAGGGTTGCCATGTTCCCAGGCAATTAGAACATGTCTATGTATGTGTATGTGTAGTTTTCCAATGAATGGGGTTAGACTAAGGGATTGCATTGTGCCTAGGACAAGAGTGCACTGTTTGAAGTAGTGCATTGAATTCCAGAAAAGACTAAAAAATTAATATCCCTGATAGTGAATATATCTAGAATCTTCCTGAACATTGTTATCGCCTAACTTTTTACTCAGAGGTCTGCATTTCAATAGAATAAATAATTAAATTCTATTTATTCAAGTCAGGGTTTTTTACGTCTTCACATAATGTAAGAATTCACTATAGTTATCAGTGGCTTCCTCACCCACGATTATATTTTTAATTCTGTGCAGAATGTCTAAGAAGCAAAGCTGCCACTGCCATCTAGTGTCTTCAGAGTACGTTTCTGGAGATTATGCTAAGGAAAAAATACATTCTTGTAACTTTGAATGCCTTCTCAAGTTTCTCAGCTACTAGTAGATCTCGTGTAGTTCATGGATATATGCTTACTTTTTCTCTCACCTGGAATATATATTTGCATCCTCTAAGTCCGACTCGTTCAAGATCATGTAAACAGCACAGAAAACTCCCTGAGGAGAATCTGACAGATTCCTTTTCTTGCCTTATCCTTTCTCCCCTTTTAAATGATCATTCCTAGCAGAGATCACCATAGATATAAAACATGCATTAACCAATAACTGTTCATGTACTAGTCACAGAATCACAGACTCAATCACAGAATCACAGAATCACAGGGTGATTAGATGCCGAGTAGGAAGGGACTCACAAGGATTAAGTCCAACTCCTGGCCCTGCACAGGATACCCCAGGAGTGCCCGAGACCATTGTCCAAATGCTCCTTGAACTCTGTCAGGCTTGGTGCAGTGATCACTTTCTTGGGGAACCTTGTCCAGTGCCCAACCACCCTCTGGGTGAAGAAACTTTTCAATATCCAACCTAAACCTCCCTGACACAATTCCCTACTCTTAGGTGGATTTGTGTAGTTCCACATAAAAAACTATTCTGGGAGACAGCTGCTTCAGCCTCCTTGTGGTCCTTTCTTCATTTTCATCCCAGGGAAACTAGTCAGTTCAGTCTCTTCCTCGGGAAAAAAATTTATTTGTTTTCAATTCTTGATGGTCTTGGGCAACATCCCATTGTTATTATAATGTTATGCTTGTGTGGTGGCAGTGGGTCCTGGGGTACAAGGTACTGTGCAGAGTTTTCTTTCCTGGCTGGCAGCTACAACAGGGTCCCTCTGGCTCTGATCTCAGCCTTCCATTTCCGCAGCATAAGAAATTTTTTCCATTTTTTTCCCTCAACCAAATGCCAGGAACTGGCAGCCTGGTACTTTTCTCAGCTGAGGTAGAGCTAACCACAGAACCGCTCCCATCTCTCGTGGGGGATGCTGACACAGAAGAAGCTGGAGCCCTGCTCGGACTTGTGCCAAAGGCTGCTTCCAGTCAGCTCAGCAGCTAACAGGAATCTGTCTGTTTGGGCTGGATAACAGCTGGATATGATCATGCTGAAGGCTTTTGAAGGTCCAGCTTCCTATGCAATACCTTTTTCCCCTGCCAAGTATTCCATGTTAACAGAAATTCACATAGATATGAAAGACATTCATTGATGTCTCCTTGCTTCCCTGTCCACATTTGCATTCCCTCATCCAGCGCAGCTCACGTCAAACCTTTGAAACTCAGAAAACTCAGACTCAACAACTAACCGTTATGGAAGATTCATTATTCTTTGGATACAATTTTTCACCAAGTCTTTTTACTGTGAAAAATGAGGACTAAGTTTATGTGTCCAGAGCCACTGCCAAAGTAATTAAGTGAAACTTCAGCACGATATCAAACATTATTTTTTAAGTCCCAATCTGTCAAAAATTTTAATATGAAATTGAACCAAATTATGCTTGTTATGCTTAGAGAATTGTACTGACCTTTCCCCCAGCAGTTTTCTCAATATTTTATCATAAAACAGAACTTTGATTTTAGTCCAGTTTAAGTTTTTCATTTTGTAAAGGTTTTTTCCGGTTCTATTTCCATACATTTCTTTTAAGCATAAGTCTGGAATTCATTAGTTCACAGTTTTATGTTCAGAAGAGATGTCTCAATCTGTTAGGTTATCTCAACCAACCATCAATGTTGTGTGAGCTACAGAATGAATCACACCTAGCCCACCCCTAGGTAAGCCTGGTCATTTACGTCTGTTCAAAGATATTCATTTTTGGAGAGTTTTTCTTGGCAGGCCTGGCTGATTGATTGACTTAGGGGTTGTTATTGAGAAGTCAGAACGGGACAATGTAGTTTTAATTAATCTGTAATATTTAACATTCAAACTAATGTGTAACTGTTTTTCCCAGTATTTCTTAATAATTTCTAATTCTTTCTGTAATGATAAGGACTAATTCAAACTTTGTTCTGATTTTGAAGATTTGAGGGATCTTTCTGTTTTTTACTCTTCTGTCTGCCTCCGCTCCTCTTTCTACAAAATTATTTTTCTTGAAAGGATGAAAAATAAATCATACTTTTAAACAGAGGTGAAAATCTTAATGAATAAAATGCACAGGTTAGGGACCTTGGTTACTTTTGCCTGATAGCTTTGTATTGCTTCTGTGACAACCAGCATAAAAAAAATTAATTTATTTCACAATGTCAATTTATTTTTCCAGTTTATTTAATATTATTTTTAAAAATCAAAGTAATCACAGTCCCACATAATTTGCATTGATTAAAACAAAGCAGAAAAAAACAAACCAAAACAAAACAAAATATGACAATATACTGAAACAACTGATATAGATATTAAAAGAGTGACCAACTTCAAAAAATATATTATTTTAAATATTTTGCTTTGGATATTCAGGTTCTCTTCTGGCACAGGCATAACCACTATAAATGTCACTTCAGTTAACACCAGCTGAAAACATCTGGGCTGTGATACCAGATGTAGCATCATGCATGGTTTCAACCTGCATGATTCTCTCGTTGCTGCTTCCTTCTGGTTTCCCCATTATCATACAGTCTTACCATTTCTCCAGGGAGTGCTTCTCCCTTTTCCTGCTTTCCTGTCTCCTTTGGAAAGACATCTCACTGCTTCTGTACCTTCTCCTTGTTCTAAAGATGACACGGACATCTGCTTCCACTGGAACATTCCCATTCAATACAGTCAAACACTTTTGAATTCCCAAACTTCATCATTGCTGCTTGGTGTTACTTGCTCAGGGAGTCACTGTGCAATCCTCACTCATTCATTACACATCTGAATTCCCAGTATGTTTAAAGGAATTTTAAAAAGGAAAGAAGGATTAGTTTAAAAATATAAAGCTGCTGGGTTTACTGGGTCTATTTCTTGTGACATGCTAGGAGATCCTTGAGAGGCGCTAGATGTGCTCAGAATACTGGGAACCAGCAGTGCTCATGAAAGTGTGTGATGTATCCAGCATCACTTCAATACTAGACAAACTTTAAATGGTGTAATGCACCTTGAAATGTTAATGATTTCTTTTCTCCTTTCCTATAAAGTTAAATTAATTCCAGACTGACATGCAGCTGTGTAAGTCCATGTATACAGTGTACATTTGGTGGTAGGTAGCCTAGTACTTGTTCATAGAACCTTGCTGTCTTTTGGTAAACCTAAATGCCCACTTTATTAATATTCCCATGTGCTACAGGCTGCTCTGCAGCCTATGACATGGAACTCAGCTGTAATTAGCACCAAAAGAGGGAGTTAGTGTGCAGGACACGGACAATTCTTTGACTCCAGATGCTATATTCAAACTGCAGTGGTCCATTGAAGAAGTAGAGGTAACCTAAGGAAAAAGAAAGTTGAAAAGAATTAACGCTAAGAAACTGTGTTTCATATCAAAATTATTCTTAAAATAATAATTATCTTGTTTTCATTTTTAATAACCCAAATGAAATATTTTCAAATTTAGAAGGCTGAGTTAAATTTTTAAAATATCCTTATTCCATTTGCTAGAGCTGGATCAGAGTTTTAAAATGACTGATATTCTTTAATCTTGTGTCAAATTCTTACTGCACTTGATCAGGAAAGTACAGGACTGGCATTTTAATTTTTAAGACACTGACTCAGAAACATTCCTTGAAAAGCTGGATAGAAATGGCCTCCAGTTATTACATTATAATACTTTCATGTTAATCACTTGACTTTAGGTTCCCTAAGCAAGGAGCTCTTTTTTTGGCCAGAGCACAATTTAGATCAGAAAACTGATTCAGTCAAGAACAGAAATGTTGATGTGAAGAAATAAAAACTACAAATGCAGAATTTTCTACAAGACATTAATCTCAAGTTTCTAGGGCATTTAATTGTAATAAAATTTAATTATCAGATTATGTACCATTTCTTTCATAGACTGCATCCACTTTATCACCAATTCCTGGGAATTCTTCCTCCATCAGCCTGGGGTAGCCTTCTTCCATAGCCTCTGCCTCTTCATCATAACTATATTAAACACAAAGAAAAAGAAATCAGGGGATTTAAATAGCCTGGGAGTTTGCTCTGTGCCTGTTCAATTTTTTGAAGTTACTCACACAAAGCAAGCCATCAGCCTTTGGGTGCTTTTTATCTAGTGTAATGGTTAAATGCAGGGTGATAAACAGGACATACCTCCACCAGAAATGGAATAAACACACAGCAAATAGAGCTACATTTTCAGAACTGATCTATAAAGTATGTATTTTATGGAGGTTATTGTACCTGGCTGTATTGGTACTACAAACTTATCCTGAGGCTGCTTGGCCCAATGATAGTGGGAAGGGATGATAATGTCTTAATTATGCACGAGACCTGATTGTGAGCCCCACTCATGGACAGTAAAACAGAGACACCTTAGGGTGGGACAGATTTCTTACTTATAGCACTGATACCATTTCACATCACACAAGCAACTCAAAGAAGCAAGATGGGAAATTTGTCTAGCAGGCATGACCATATTAGAAATTCTCCCAGATTAGAGCACTTAGTTCTCATTTCCTTACACTCATTCAGCTTTTAATATCTGTGCCCATATTTTTATAAAAGTCTTGCATACACCTTTACAACATGTTTCGCACAGCTATAGCACCAATGAAAATCTCAGACTAGATTGGCCAATTGCCTGGTTTGAACCAAATTCCTGATCTTTCCATACATCTCGACAGGTTATGACTAGGGACACCAAAACTGATCTGTCTCCAGCTTACCTCCAGTACTTATTTCCAGTAAAAAAGAGAGTCTTGCCAGTGTCTTTGACATGGACAGCTGCATCTATTCTTTTCATTTCTTTTGGGAATCCCATTTCATATATCTTTTTAGGGAAGTCTTCAACTATGTCATAGCCATTCAAAGCCCAGACTTTCTTTCCTGAAAATATGAACAAAGTATGAGTGAGTCTTTTGTAAGAACTCAGCTTTGAGAGAAGAATAAAATGAGGAAACCATGATCCCTATTTTCATACAACAAACAGATTCTTAGGTCATATACTCAGTAGGTATTAGACTATTTATACTAGGATTCTGAGCATCCTAACTAAATTTTGCATCTCCTAATTCACTGAAAATTTTATAGATGTGTATGAGGTGAAACTATTTTTCAAGCAAGGAAGGTAGGATGTTTTTTTCTTCTGTTGATTACCTTTACACCACCTGTTGATCTTGATTGAATATGTGTATTTATCGGCCAACGACAAAATCGAAAACTCACCTTTAAACATGAACACAAGATCTTTAATGGGATTTTCATAAGCTGCATCTATTTTATTTGGAAGCTCTGGCCAAAAGGACTTAAGTAGCACCAGTTCTGCCTCAATCAGCTGAGGGTGAAGTCGCCAGAAAAACCTAGTTCAGAAAAGGAAGGTATATTTTATAATTCTTGTCATACTGTAGAATAGCAGTATTTTTGATGTGCTATAGTTAAAATGGTTATCATATCATAGAAT